CCCAGGTCTGAGATCTTTGACCTGCACTGCTTTTGGGCTTCCCTGGCCTGTTCCTAATCTCCTCTGCCATTTCTCTAGAGCTTTCTGCTCCATCTGACCTTGTTCTGGGAGGTTCTGGGTGGCTCTGGGCCTAGGAGACTTGTTGGGGACCGGATCTAAAGCTTAGTAACTCTAAACGTCGCAGGGCGACCTGGATCCCACGCCCTTACGCCAGGAGGTCGACCTCCCAGGGAGGACGTGTGTGGCCAGGCGGAGGCGGGACCCCTTGGTTCACGCGGTCACCGCCAGAGGGCGCCAGCTGTCGCCCAGGTGAGGGCGCGGGGAGGCCCCTGCCCGGCTTCCGGAACAACAGAGCGGGCTCCTGGGGCTGGAAGCTGCCCCCTCGTGGGTCCGGGGAGCCCCTGTCGCCTTCCCCCCTCTGTCTCAGCCTTGGGCTTGCTGACCCTTCCTCCCCACTTCTGCTTTGCGCAGGGAGTCACATTTCCTCGGTGTGGGTGTCGGAAGCCTGGGGTCGTCGCGCTGCCCTCCCCCGGGCGCCAGTCCCAGATGTGCCTGGCTCCCCCCTCACGCGGAAACAGTGCTGAGGCCGTGCCAAGCACCGGATTGTCACCTCTGTCACCTCCTCTCAGCCTCTTCACAGCCCTGGGTGGGAGTGCGGGCCAGGCCCGGGGATTACTAACTGGGCCCAGAGAGGGGGAGGGCAGCGCTCTGGGCCACACAGCCTGCCAGTGGGCCCCAGGGGTGTGGGGGAGGGAGGAATCGAATTCCTGCCTAGGCAGGATTGGGAGGGTGGGGGCCCAGGCTCCTTCCGGCTGCAGCCCATCTCCTCCATTCCCCCAGCTTCATCTTCCCCCAGGGCCTCCAGTCCAGGGGAGTCCAGGGGAGCACCTCCCTCCAGCCCCCCCTACTGCTCAGTCAGGTTTCTGCTTAGATCCTGCCACCGTCCCCCCGCCGGCCCGCTTCCCTCCCTCCCCCCCCCACGCTTCGCCCCTTGGCTGTGGCCACTGAGGGCCTGGCCGGGGGCCCAGGCAGCACACCGCAGCGGCCAGCGCGCTCGGGACAGTCCCAGTCTGTCTGGCAGGGCTGCGGGTTCAGGATTGGCTGGAGCTGCCCCCGCCTTTGGGAGGAGGCAGCCGTGAGAGAGGCCCGGAGGTGGCTCGCTCAAGGTCACCCTCCTTTTCTCTCCCAGCATCCCTGTTCAACCTTTGTCCCTTCTGCCTCACCTGGAGGAGGGGAGGAGGCAAGAGGCCCCACAGGCAGAGGACAGAGGAGCCCAGGGAAGAGGCAGGCTTTTTGGGCTCCTGGCGTTTATTCATTCAGCAAATATTGAGTGCCCACTATATGCCAGGCACTGAGAACACAGCAGGGAACACCGTGGACGCAGTCCGTGCCCACAGCCCAGTGGGGAGACAGACCAGAAATAAACAATCACACAAACTGTGTAAACTTGTGTCCCCAGCAGTGTGGCAAGGGCCCTGAGCGGGGCTGTGGTCTCGCCTCCCTGGGGACCTGGGAGTGAGGCGTCTTATCTGGCCCAGGGCAGGGAGGCTGACTTCAGATGCGGCCAAGGGCTTTGCGGAGGCCGGGGGGCGGGGCTGAGCACAGCCTCAGTTTCCTCAACTGGAAAACGGGGAAAATAAATGGCCCTGATCAGGGGCTGCTGCATCCTGGCCTGCAGCCCTCAAAAAGAAGGCGCTGTCACCGTCCCTGAGGAAGGGTGAGGGAGCTCATCAGGAAAATGGCGGGGAGGGCATTCCTGGAGACCAGCAGCTCTCACAAAGCTCAGAGGTGGCCTCAAGGAGGTGAGGGAGCCCAGTCCTACAGCCACTGCGCTACCGAGCTTCGCTGGCCCCTCGCTGCCTGAGGCTGGAGGAGAGGAGGGGCTGGTCCCCGGGGCTGTCTCTCCTTCTTTCCCTTCCGTGCCCCCATGTTCCTGGCCACGTGGCACCTCTGTGGCCCCCCGCCTGGGGGAGGCTGATTCCTGACCTGGGGCTGGGGGAGCCAGGGACAAGTGGGTTTGGGGTACCGCAGAGAGCAGGTCTGTGGCGTGCTGGCTCCGCCCCGCCCCACAGCCCCAGGGTGGCAGGGAGGGGTGCTGTCTCTTTAAGAGCCTTCAGGCTGCTGGGAGCAGATGGCCAGGCCGGCCGGGGCCCCTTGTCCTTTGTGTGGCTTTGCACAAAAGAGGGGGCCAGCTGGGGAGGGGGCGGCTGCAGCAGGTGGGAGGGTGGGGCCTTGCCCCTCCCCCTCCTAGCCCTGTGCCATTGCCCTTGGGGAGGGGGTTGCTCACTAGGAATGTGCCTCCTTTACGGGCACTGTGGCCCCCACAGTCGCCCCCAAACTCCTAGGATACCCCTCCAGTGTCATGTCACACCTCCTAGGTAGAAGCTTCATCACACCCAGGCCTAGGGACTCCCGCCACCCCCAGCTCCAAGGAATAAACCTACCCTCCCTGCCCCCTCCCCCAGCAGAATCTTCCTCCTGCCCTGAGCTCCAGGCTCTCGGGAGAAGGGAGAGCAGAATGAGCTCCTTCTGGGAGGGGTATGGAAGAAGGAGTGACACTAGTGGCTGGGGGTACCTGGGGCACCCCTGGAGAAGGGAGGCCAGAACAAGCATGATGCTGAGGCCTGGGGGCGCAGGGGAGCAGCTGGGGCCCTGGACCCTGGGTATGAGTGCCAAATGGAAGCAAGGAGAGGCGGGAGACCCAACTGAGGCCCTGCCTAACGTGGGCCGGAGCGGGCAAGATGGACTCCCTCCTAGGAGCGGGCTGTGTGCAGTGATGGCTGCCTGCCAGGCAGGAGGGGACAGCTATGGGAGCCTCCCTAAGGACTGGAGGTGCTGGGGGCGGGTGTGGCACCCTGCCCCGCAGGAGGGGTGGCTGGAGAGGCTCTCTTCATCTTGTAGCAGACCCCTTAGCTCAGACCTGCCCTTGGCCCATTCATTCTCCTCCTTTGTCCAGACTTCCCCACCCTGGGGCTTGGTGCCCAATCCATGATTTAAGAGGAGGAAAAAGGCCCCGTAGCTCTGGCCCGAGGTGTGGCGGGCAACGTGGCCGCGGGTTGGGTGGCCCCATGTGGCCCGACAGTGCCGCAGCCGGGCGGGGTGGTGCCTGACTTTGCCCGGCCGCCCGCAGGAGCCCTAGGACCAGGCGGTCCCAGCCGGGTCGCGGCCCGACCGCAGGACCCCGGCCGGCTGGCCGCAGGCGGTGGGTGGGGGCGGGGATCCCTGGCTGGGCCCTGGGTTGCTTCTAAATTTAGGAATCTGATTACAGAGTGGCCGAGGAAGGGAAGGGAGAGGAGGGGGCGAACGCAGGCTCGGCTCTGTCTGGGCACAGCGGGGTGTGCCCGGGTGGAGGTGTGTCTAGGAGTCCGGGGCTCCGGGTGGGAGGGGCGGCGGGCGGGGGCTTCGGCTTGTGTGCGCTGCAGCACGTGCCCCGGGTGGCGGGGACGGGCACCGGCGCGGCTCGCAGGCTCGGAGCCGCCGCCGGTGTGCGCGCTGGCTCTTTGTGTGCCTGGCAGGGTGGCTGGGTCTGGCTTTGAAAGTCTCTGCCCACCCCCCTCCCCCATCTCCGTCTGTGCCGCTCTACCCGCTTCCCGGTCTGTCACTCTGCCCGTGCTTGTCCTGGGGGAGGGGGATGCTGATCCCAGCTGGGGTGACAGTGAACCCAGTAGGGAGGAGACCCAGCTCCTCCCTCTCTTTGCCGTCCAGACTTTTCCCTACACCTCCCACTCCCCATCCCTCAGCCCCTTATGCCACTGTTTTGGGATGCACACTGCAGCAGTTAAAGGGAATTGGGGCGACCCCTGGGGACCCACAGATGCACCAGAAGCCAGGCTTTGGCCCGGGAGCTCTTGGAGGAATTCATTCCTCGCCTGTCCGGCCTCCCATCCGCTCTAGCCCCCAAGGGCGCATGACGGGGGGGGGGGTCCCCCCTGCGGAAGGGGGGGCGGGGAGTTCCTTGGCAGGAAGGGAAATGGAAGGAAAAGCTGGGCTCCACCCGGGCGGGCGGGCAGGCGGCCTCAGGGCCCCCGGGGCAGGCGGCAGTAACCCGAGCCCACTGGTGCGTGGGGCTGCTGTGCGCGCGGGTGGGGCTGACCCCCGGCTACTCCTGGCGGGCAGCGGGGTCTTCCCCAGGGACAAGTCTGGGAGCCCGGGGGGCCGGCCGAGGGAAGCGCTCTCCACCCTGGTCCTGACCCCACCCCCTGGAGGTCTAGCCCCGGCCCCCAGGCCCCGCCCCCCGGGCCCTCCCTCCCACCCCAGGGCCAGATGTTCAGCTGGCGGAGGCATCGGCTGGGGGAGGGGTGCTGAGGCCGCAGCCGGCACTACTTCCCTGCCAGCAGCTTCATTGTGTGCGCGAGGAGCGAGCGGCGGCGGAGAGCGGGCGAGCGAGCGGCGCCCGAGCGCGGCGGGGAGAGCGAGCGCGCCGGGGAGGGTGCGAGGCGGCGCCCGCGGCTGCGCTGCGCCCGCCTCCCGGCAACTCTGCCCCAGCGCCCCGCGCCGTGCGCGCAGTCCCGCCACCGCCGGGGCCCCGCCGCCTGCCGTCGCAGGCAGGGGTCTGGTCGGGACAGGGGTCCCCACCCGGGGACCGGGGCATCCCGGTGCAGCCGAGAGGTGCGGAGCCCGCGGGGGGCGCCAGTTGCACGGCAGCGTCCGCCCGCTGAACTGCGTGGGCACGCGGGCGCTGGGGCTCAGGGGCGCCCCGAGGGCAGGGCGCCCCGACTTCTCCGGGGGAGCCCATACCCGGTGGAGCGCACGGCGCGAGCGCTCCCCAGCCGCACCGGACCTTGCGCGCATTCCCCGCGTACCCCACTTCTGCACAAACTTTTCTGACGCCCTCGCCCCTGGGGGTCGCGGGGAGCGCTGGGCTGCCCGCTGGCCTCCCGCCCCGCCGGACCCTAGCCACGCTGACCTCCTGCCTCTCGTAGCCTCAGTGGCGACCTCTCCAGGCCGGGCCGGGCACGGCACCCGAGGCGAGCGCGGCAACCACCGCAGCTCTCCGAAGGCTCCCGCGCCCCCGGGGGCAGCTGGGCGCGGTAATGCCCTCGGTGATGGAGAAGCCGAGCGCGGGCTCCGGGATCCTGTCCCGCAGCCGGTCCAAGACGGCGCCCAACGGCGGACAGCCCCACTCGGAGGATGACAGCAGCGAGGAGGAGCACTCGCACGGTGAGCCCGGCGGCCTGGGGTTAAAGGCGCACCGCACCGGCCCGGAGGGCGCGGAGTCGGGCGGGGGAGTTGCCGACCGCGGGCGTGTTATACTGATGGTTCCAGCTCCCTGGCTTGGAACCTCTGCCTTGCTTCTCGCCTAGGCCGGCTCAGGGAATCTGAAGGCTGGGCCCCTAGCTGCTCAGGAGGCGGTCCTGCCCTCCCCCGCCCTGCCCTCAGTCCCTGAGGGACTCAGGCGCCCCTCCCTTCCCCTGATTGGGTCCCTCATACCTTGCCACCTTGCAGGGGTCTGAGGTCTGGCTGGGGCAGGGGCTGGAAAGACACCTCCATAGCGAGCTGTGAGGCTCATGTGGTAGGGAGGAGCTTGGATTCCCTGCAGGGCTGTGGTCCAGGTCTAGGGGCAGCCCTCCAACCCCCTTACCCCCGCAGCCGGAACAAAGGGCTCTGCTTGGCCTGGCCTCTAAAATTGGCCCCTTGTCCGTCTGGTGTCGTTCCCCCCCCCACCCCCCCACCCCCCATGGCTATGACTAGGCAGGGTCTCTCCCTCTTCCAGTTCCTTCTGTGGCTGAGGGTAACTAAGAGGGAAGATAGCGAAAAGTGAGCCTCCTGGAAGGTGGGGGCCCTGGGTGGTCAGGAAGGAGAACTCTAGGCCAGCCACCTCCCCCGCCACATCCTCCCATCCTCCCTCCCTCCCTGGAGTCCTGACTGCCTCCCCCTGGCTTCACAGACAGCATGATCCGCGTTGGAACCAATTACCAGGCCGTAATTCCGGAGTGCAAGCCTGGTGAGTGGCAGGGCAGGCTGCGAAGGGAGGGGAGCGGAGGGCCCATGGCTTGGCCCTGAGCCCCACCTGGGGGAGCCCTTGGCTGGCGCCCACTGGAAGGACAGGGGGGGGGGGGGGGGGTGGCCCCGTGGCGTGGTTAGTTTTCCTGCTCTGCCTTCCTGTCTGGGTCTCTGCCCCTCCTTCCCTCTGGGCCTCACCTCCCAGGCCCCACTCCTCTGCGGCCCTTTGGCCGTGGGTTCAGGCCAGCGCCACCAGGCTGGTCTGAATGTCTTCCCTCCTCTGCTTCTGTGCCTTTCAGAGAGCCCCGCACGCTACAGCAACAAGGAGCTGAAGGGGATGCTGGTGTGGTCGCCCAACCACTGTGTGTCAGATGCCAAGCGTGAGTGGGGTCAGGACCCTGGGTTCATGCACGTCCCTGGGAGCTGGCGCCTTGAGGTCGTGCCAGCGGGTGGCCAGCTCTTCTCAGAAATGGGCTGGAGGCTGAGTGAGGTGTGTGGGTTCAGCCCCTGCCAGGGGGGGCTCAGGCTCAGGGGCCTGGTCCCTGGGGGTGTCCCTCTGTCTGGACAGGCCTGGGTTAGGAGTTGGAACCCCTCCTTCAAACTCTGGCCCCTCCCGCCCCTGCAGTTGACAAGTACATCGCCATGGCCAAGGAGAAGCACGGCTACAACATTGAGCAGGTGAGCCCTGGCCCCGCAGGGGTTTGGGGTGGGCACGGGACAGTGCAGGGGGCGGCTGAGCCTGAGCCCGAGTTGTCCCCTCTCCCGGGCCAGGCACTGGGCATGCTCCTGTGGCATAAGCATGACGTGGAGAAGTCGCTGGCCGACCTGGCCAACTTCACCCCCTTCCCCGACGAGTGGACTGTGGAGGACAAGGTGTTGTTTGAACAGGCCTTCGGCTTCCACGGCAAGTGCTTCCAGCGGATCCAGCAGATGGTAAAGCCCCTCCACCCCCACCGCGGCTCCTTAGCCCCTCCTTCCTGACGAGCCTGCCTGGGGCCCGAGTCTTGGGTGGGCCCCAGCCTCTGGCGTTGCCCCTTCAGCTGCCCGACAAGCTGATCCCCAGCCTGGTGAAGTATTATTACTCTTGGAAGAAGACCCGTAGCCGGACCAGTGTGATGGACAGACAGGCTCGGCGGCTGGGGGGCCGAAAGGACAAAGAAGACAGGTAGGGGCCCAGGGAAGCTCTGGGTGGGGGCAAGCCGAGCTCCTGGGGGCCCCTTGCTCCCGCCTCACTCCCTCCCTGGCCCTGTGTCAACAGCGATGAGCTTGAAGAAGGACGAGGAGCCGTGAGTGAGGGAGAGCCAGATGCCGGAGACCCCAAGAGAGAGGTGAGGTCCCAGAGCTGGGTAGGCCCTGCCTGCCCGCCTGCCTTCTCTCTGGGCTCTGCACCACCCAGCCCCTCTCCTTTCCCTGGCAGCCTGTGCCCTCTCGGCCCCTGAATGCCCGCCCAGGTCCGGGGAAGAAGGAGGCGCAGGGGTCTCAGTACCGCCACCACCCGCTGCGAACCCGACGGCGCCCACCCAAGGGCATGTACCTGAGCCCAGAGGGCCTCACTGCCGTGTCAGGAAGCCCGGATCTTGCCAACCTCACGCTTCGAGGCCTTGACTCCCAGCTCATCTCCCTCAAGCGCCAGGTGGGGCCCAAGAAGGGGCCATGCAGAGGGGGCAGTCAGCAGCGGGGAACTATGAGTGGGGGCAGCTGCGATGGAAGGGAGGCGGTGCAGGCGCCAAGGCTTCCTCTGCCCTATCCTCTGGGCTTCCGGGTAACTCGGCATTCTTTTCTGGGCCTTTAGAACAACTGGTTCATAAAGAGAGGTGAACCCTAGCATCACCCCTACTGAGTGGTTGTGAGGGAGGAATGAGCTAGATGGTGGGTGGCAAAGAGCTTGGCTGGGAAGGAGGCCCCTGGCGAGGGCTGGGTATTGATGGCCATCCTGGCACGGAGAGTTTGACGTCCCTTCATTTCTGACCTTCCCAGGTGCAGAGCATGAAGCAGACAAACAGCAGCCTCCGCCAAGCCCTGGAGGGGGGCATTGATCCACTCCGCCCCCCCGAGGTAAGGCTGCTCTTCGAGTGCAGAAGGGGGTTTTCTTGCAGGTGGAGCAGAAAGGGAGAGCAAGGCCTCCACTTCCGTATTTTTGAGTCTCAAGGATATATTGTTTGCTCTCCAGGCCAACACCAAGTTCAACTCCCGCTGGACCACGGATGAGCAGCTTTTGGCTGTGCAAGGTAGGTTCGATCGCCTATGGGGGGAGTAGAGGGCCCCCAGAGTCTTCCCACCCTCCGAGGAGCTGGGGTGGAGGGGGAGGAGCAGGGAAGTAACTAGTTCTCAGGGGTGTTCACAGTCTGCTGCCCTTTTGACCCTTGCAGCCATCCGTAGGTATGGCAAAGACTTTGGGGCTATTGCAGAGGTGATTGGGAACAAGACTCTGACCCAAGTGAAGACCTTCTTTGTGAGCTACCGGCGCCGCTTCAATCTGGAGGAGGTGCTGCAGGAATGGGAGGCCGAGCAGGATGGGGCCCCTGGAGCCCCGGGCCCCATGGAGGAGGCTAGGAGAGGGGCTCCCTTGCCAGCCCCAGCCCTAGAGGAAGATGACGAGGTGAGAAGGGGTGAGGACACCCTTCAGAGAAGAGAGGAGAGGAACCGCGGGGACTGGGCCGAGGGCGGGAAAGAGCCTGGTCTCTCGCTCTTTTCTCTCCTCTCAGGTCCAGATCACATCTGTCTCAACGTCGGTGCCCCGATCGGTGCCCCCTGCACCACCCCCTCCTCCACCTCCCACCTCGCTGTCCCAGCCGCCCCCGCTGCTGAGGCCACCTTTGCCCACGGCTCCCACTCTGCTTCGTCAGCCACCCCCACTCCAGCAGGGCCGCTTCCTCCAGCCCCGGCTGGCCCCCAACCAGCCCCCACCACCCCTCATCCGCCCTGCTCTGGCTGCCTCCCGCCACAGTGCCCGCCCTGGCCCTCAGCCCCCACCCACCCTGATTGGAGCCCCTCTGGAGCCTCCAGCACCCTCACTCTGAGCCCTGAGGCCCTCTACCAACCAGAGGCTCCAGAACCCCTTTGCTGGACATCCTCAGACACCTCTGGCTTCCCTGAGGCCAGAAGGGACTAGAGCTCTTGCCAGCCCTTTTGAAGACCCGAGCAGCCGATGGGCACAGCCTGGACCCGCGGGTTCTGCACATCTCTGGCAGCTGAGCCTGTCTCTGCCCCCATCCCAGCCAGCAGCTGGGACTCAGTGGCTTCTGAGCTGGCCTGAGGGTACTTTCTTCCTGGCTGGGACTGGAATGGCTGTCTCCGAGTCAGCTCGGGCTTGGCCTCTGGGCCATGCCCGTTGTGTAGAGGGGGTAGTGACTCTAGCTTGGCGGGTAGGGGAGAGGACAGTTCGGCGTGTGGGCTGTTCTCCCTCCGTCCCTTCTTTCAGCAATAAGTCTGGGGTGAGCTGGGGAGGGGCCCGCAGGGGGTTGGTGGGCAGAGGTTCCTCGGGGCCTGAGGTGAGCAGGGCTGGAGGGGCAGCTCTCCTGTCTGTCTTCAGGGGCCCCTGGGGAGTGCCGAGGAGCTCTGAGGGTGCCCACTGTGCCCCCCACCCACAAGCCTGGAGAAAGGAGGACTGGGAACATATGCAGACATGGGTTTATTTTTCAATGTTTTTAAAAAATAAATAAAACCTTCCAAGCTCGCTGAGTCCTCTTTCCCTGGTGTAAGGACCTGTCAATGCCATGAGAGTGGGAGCGAAGGCCACCCAGCATAGGCCTCTCCCCCAGGCCCCAGACAGGAATCAGTTCTCTCCTGCGAGGCAGGCGGGCTGGGCCACATCTTGCCCACGGGGACTGGGTCCCTGCCCAGCTGGGAGAAGAAACAGGAGGCAGCTCAGATTCCAAACATTCTCTTTATTACGTGTTTGATCCAGAGGAGAAACTAAGTGCAGGGGGGGGCTGGGTGGGGAGGGGCCACCTTGCCTGGGAGCCCCCCCGGCCACCACCCCCTTTGGGAGCCAAGCCATGCCCTCCGGGCCCCTCGGAGCACCCGGGCTGTTCCATAGGGCAGGAGCGGGGAGGGAGGGAGGGTGGAAGGGAGGGGGAGCCCTTGGTCGGAGCCGGAGCAGCCCGCAGTCCAGTCGGGGCTTGGGGCAGGAGGGCTGAGGTTGGCGAGGCCCCTTCCTGGGACCCAAGGGCTCGACTTGCCACGGAGCCTGGCCTGGGAGTAGGGGTGATGAGTAGGGGTGGAGTCATCATAAATCAAAAAAAATAAAATAATAAAATAAAAAATAAAACCCATCACAAAAAAATGTACAACTCAGGTGAGGGTGGGGGCAGCCTCTGTGCAGGACCCCCTCCCCCAATTTCTCAAGAACAGAAACAGCAGAGAAATAAATTAAGGGATGCAGCGGCCGCCACCAGCCAAGCGCCCGTCACCAGCCACTCCCACACTGGCCGTGGAGGTTGGCAAGCTGGGCATCACTTGGCCTAGCTGTCCCCCCACCCCGTGGAGGGCAGAGGCTCCCGGCCCCCGCTGCCCCATCCAGCCCCGCCAGGCGGCCCTGGGCAGTGTCTCCTGAGAGGAGGGGCGACAGTGTCAGGAAGAAGAGGCAAGGCCGAGATGAGTGGTGAGGGAAGTCACTGCTATGGAACTAGCTGGTGCCTAGATTAATGCCAATGACGGGGAGCAGTGGGGGAGGAAAGGCGGGGGCTGTGCTTTCAGACAAAGGCTCTCCCATAACGGAGAATGCCCAGCGTCCCTGTTCCGGAGACTAGCAGCCCAGGCGGCCCCCTGGGGGCCGAGGAGCCCATCTGCCCTGCAGTCCCCTCCCCTCTCCCAGCCCTGGGGTCAGCCCCGCCTTCTACCCGGGAGGGGATGGGAGAAGATGGCACAGACTTTTGAGGAGGGGGACAAAAGTCCCCACAGCAGCTCGTGGAAGGAAATGCCCAGCTCGGGGGAAGGAGGGGCAGAGGATACAGTGTGGAGGGAGGCCGAGCCCCATCCTCGCCGCCAGCCCCACCTGCTTCAGGGCTGCGCAGCACCCCCGCCCCAGCCCCCAGCCGCCCAGGCCTCCAGCCCAGGGGCCTGAGGTCAGGGGAAGGCCACCTCTGGTGGTTTGCTTGGAGGGGAACGAGGGGGAGAGGGGAGAAGCCCAAAGTGGGCCTGGCGGAGGGCCTGACAGGGAACTCCACCACTCTTGCCTGAGAGTGTTCCAGCCCTGAGCCACCCTCCCGGGAAACCCCACAGATCCAGTCTCAACTGTCCCGATGGGGCAGGGAGGAAAGGTGGCCGCTGGGATTTTTTTTTTTTTCTTTTTTCTTTTTGGTATTAAAAAATTTCTTGGTTTAGGCGAAATACTCTGTGCAACCGCAGTACCGAGGGGGAGCCCTGCCCCCCCACCCTCCCTCCCCTTCCTTTGCCTCCTGTGGGAGCGAGGGGGGAAGGGGGGGACTTCTGGGCAGGGGTAAATGTGGGGGGGAAAGAGCCATCTCCCATCCCCCACAAACATGGAAGAAAAAACTGAGAAGGGCGGGGAGGGGAGATGTGCCAGCAGGGGGAGACACACCGATCCATCTCTGCAGTCTCGCCCAGGTGGGGCGGAGCGGCCGGCCCCAGCAGCGAAGTCCAGCTGGCCCGCCTCCGTGGCCCCCCACTCCTGGCAGCCTGTTAAAGCTTCAGCTCGTTGGCTATTTTGGAGGCAATGTTTTTGAAGGCCATGGAGGTGCCCGATATCCGCTTAAATCGAACACCGTTGAGAGAGAGCCGCGGCAGTTTGCACACCTCCATCTCCCACTGCACGAAGTTCTCGTGGCCCGGCGTGCCGTGCATGCACAGCAGCATGTACTTCTCGTGCAGCTCGCTCTGGCAGCTGTTTGCGTCCAGCACCTTGCGGATCTCCCGCATCATCTCGTTCGGCTCCATGGAGCTCGTGGTCTTCATACTCCACGTGAAGCGCAGGGAGCGGGGCTTGGCCTCCCGAAACTCCTCCTTTTCTTTGTCATTACCTCCGCTGCCCACTACGTGAGGTCTGCGGAGAGGGCAGAGGCAGAGTCAGGCGGGGGCTGAGGCACCCCCCGAGGGACAGCCACCCTGGCAGACAGACCCTGAGACGATGGGGGAGCGGAGGGTGCCCGGGAGGCGACACTGCAAGAGGGAATGCGAGCCCTGGTCCGGGGGAGCAGGGAGGGTGCGACAGGTGGGCAGGCCTGCCCCTCCGGCTCTTGGGGCGGAGAAGGCGAGGGGAGGCCAGGCCCTGATGGGGGGTGGGGGGGTGACAGTTCCATGCTTTGCTCTGAAGAGGGGAGGAGAGCCAGGGAAGAAAGGGGAGCGGTGTTCAACAGCCCTGAGCAGTTCACAGCCTGGACAGAAAGAAGCAGCTGAGGCACAGAAGTGAGCCAGTCAATGGGTAGGAATCTGTAGCCCCGACCGCCCAGCCCAGGGCCCCTGCTTCTAGAATATACCAGATCTGAGGGGAAGGGCCCACACCGACTACAGCTGGGCTGTGGGGATTCTCTGAGGAAAGGGAGGCCCCAAGAGGGTGAGGACAGGGCAGAACCACCGGGGGAAGAGCCAGGTGGCAGAAGGAAGGAGGAGCAGGCGGCGTGTGGCGAGCCCGGCGGCCCGGGCAGGGCCAGTGCTGCTCCCGCCCTCTCACCTGAGCGTCTCCACTCGGTCTTTGCTTTCAGGTTCATTCAGGTTCCTCAAAAAATAGAGCGAGGGAGAGTTTAGTGCTGGGACCTCTCGCTCCTTCCGCCGCCGCAGACCCAGGTGAGGGTGGGTCCGGGGAGGCGCCACTGGCGGGTGGGCAGGACCCAAGCCCAAAGGCCATTTGCCTGTCACCTGGCAGGCCAACGTGGCTCTGCAGCACCTCACACTGGCAGCTCGACTGTCCCTTTCCAACAGGGAGCCCAGCACAGGGGGGCTGTCCCTCCCCACACTCCCAGATATCTGTGCTGGGGAGAAGGAGCCTCTGCTCTGGGGGAGGAAGAGGGTGTGGATGTGCAGGCACACGCATCAGCACACAGCCACAGCACGAGGCAGCTTCCCCCACCAGCCCACAGCCAGGGCTCACGCTGTGAGCGGGTCTCTGAACCGCAGTCCTCTGGGACGGAAGGGGCAGGGGGGAGACAGAGGTCTCTGTCCAGAAGCTCACAGGCTCAAGAGCCGGAACTGCTCTGAGGACACCCGGGGCTGGGCGGGGAGGAGAAGGGCCCTGAGGCCAGCTGTGCCAGCCTGCCTCGCCCATTCTTTTATAACTCCCTGCCTGCCAGGCCCTCTGCTTGTAGAGAATGGAGGATGGAGGGCAGGGCAGGGCAGACACCTTGCTTGAGAGGGTGGGTGGGGAACAGGTCTGGCCCCGCTGAGCGGCTTCTCCAGCTCCTGGCTGGAAGATGGGTGCCTGGAGCCGGGAAACTGGGGATTGCAAGAGGGCAGGGATGTGAGGAGGAGTGAGAGAGAGCAGCAGCAGCACATGTAAAAGGAACACAAAGACACAACAGACGCACAACTGCAAACCAGCGCACCGCGAGCAGCGAGCCCGGGCTGTGCAGGGGAAGGAGCCTGGCTGCTCTCTCCAGCCCCACCTGGCTCCTGCCCTGTGGGTGGAGGCGCCCTGCAGGGCAGGCCCCCACTGGGGCCTTGTGAGTCAACAGTCAGCCATGCAGTGAAGGGCTGGGTGGGGAGCAGTGGGCGGAAGGGGGAAAGCCTGAAGACCCTGTCTTGGCCCCTCCTCTGTCAGCTAGGACACCAACGTGCCTGGCGAGGTGTCCCCGCCCAAGCACAGGGCCTGGGCTGACAGCCTTGGGGAACCAGGGCTCCCAACCTGGCCGCTGGTCTTCAACTTGGTATTTGGCCCACTCAGGCCTCCAGAGAGGAGGAGGGTAGGGCCAGGGGTGGCAAAGCCAGAATCTGGCCTACGAAGGGAGATGCCTGAGGTGGGATCTCCCATCGTTTCGCCAGAGCTTAGGGGTAAGCAGCCCAGACCTAGAACATCCCAGCTCCTGGCTCTTCGGAAGCCACAGGCCATATCAGGAGCACCTAGCCCAGAGAGGTGGCTCATTCGTCCAGATACTGGGGGAGGCAGGAGGTGTGCCGGGGGAGAGCGGGGTGGGCCTAGTTCTGCAGGAGCTGCCAGAAGGGGGTGCTGTGCCCCACTCGTGAGGCAAAGGCTCCTTGGGCCTGGAGGCTCAGAGTGAAGTCCTGGGATCCCAGGGTCCCTGGAGTACCTCCAAAGTCCTACCATCCTGTAGGACGGGGGCAACAGGTCACAAAGTTCCAAGGACCAGAGAAGGCGGAGCCCCCAGGAGACCCGGAATGAGATCCCATCCCAGACGCACTTTCGACCCCCGTGGAGCCTCTTCACAGCGCATGCACAGATGGGCGAGGGCCAGAAAGGGAACCCAATGCTTGTACCAAAACCCGGGCTGGGGGTGGGGGGAGGAGACAATCTTAAAGGGAGAACTCCCTGAGAAGGTCCCCCTTGCTTGGGGACAGACCCATCATTTTCGAAGCCATCTGCCCTGAGTGGGCAAACGTGGCCTCGTGCCGCCGCCTGGTCAGAGGCAGTCTTCGTCCCTTTAAGATGGCAGAGAGAGGGCCACACAGACGTGGTTAGCAGATGGAGGAGGGAGCGAGAGCCAGAAAAGGGGAGTTAGTGACGGAGGCAGGACACAGGACACAGACACACACACACAGCGGGCTCAACGCCTACCTTCTGGCAAACCTGAAAGACAGATTTCTAAAAAAACAAACAAAAAAAGACAAAATAAAAAAAGAAATAAAAGAAAAAAACCAACAAGACGGTATGTGGATAAGCAGGTGAGGAGTGGGCTTTACAGGGTCCAAGGGTCGCCCCATCTGTGGAAGAGCCGCTCAGCGAGACTAGAGTCCCAGACATCCCGATCTGCTCCCGGCCGCCCCGCCGCCCTGGACCCCGTTCCAGGGCCCAAAGGGGCCTGGCTTCGGGCCGCTCCAGTGAGTGGAGTGGAGTGCAGGAGTAGGGCCAGCAACCCTGCTCTCTCTGAACCCCCTGCTGCTTCTGGAGCTACACTAAGGTGCTTAGAGGAAGCGGTGGGATGGAGAGACAGCATCCCAAGAGGCCAGATTGCTGGATGCCCCTCAAGAATCAAAACTTCCCTTTGGGGTGGTCGGGGCCGGGTGAGAACCCTCGTGAAGAGAATTCCCACCCGGTTTCCACACAGGGAGGCATCAGAGCATCGGTCTGCAACGGAGGAGGCCACCCTTGGCGCGGCCCACCCCCACCCCCGCCCCGGGCTACTTCATTGATGGCTTCATCTTGGCAACTCCCAGTGGCAGAGGGGAGTGGCTGCAGCCAGACCTAACCAAGTGGGTTGGGGGAAAGGAGGTCAGAGGGGGCGAGGCAAGAGACTAGGAAAAACTCTCCTTGCCGGCCCAGCCTGGCTCAGGCCTCATGACTTTGCAGCTGCGTCACCAAATATAAGTTTCCATGGGAACCCAGGAGAGAAGAGGGGGCTTTTATTTTAGCATCTGAGTTCACACTCTCCGAGGGAGGAGGCGGCATCGGCCATCTGCTCTGGGGCCAGAGAACGAGGGGTGTGTATAAGGAGCTGGGAAGGCCTCAGAGGGATGGACGGGTTTGGGCACCTGAGGTGCTGACAAAGACCCAATTTCTTAGGCTTCCCGAGGCCTCTTCTAACCCCAGGACCCAAGTGCAGTTCTGGGTGTCCCTGTCCCCACCACCAGGCAGGTAGGAAGGCCTGGCCTCAGCCTCTCTGCCACCCTAAGCCCCCTACTCACCTGCGTACAAACTTGGAGGTGAATTTGCTGAAGATGCTCCCAGAGGCGCCCCGCCGGCCCTGGCTGTTGCCCGAGGGAGAGGCTGGGGTCACACCGTAGGGCAAATTCTGCTGGTCCCGCACCTGCCGGAGCTGCCCAGCGTGGAAGGTGCTTCGACTGGACACACCCCGGGGGAAATTAGTTCGGTCTGGGGCTCCACCACTGCTGCTGATGTTGTGGGCGGAGGGGGAGGCGACAGGGACACGCTGGGGGGCTGTGCTGTGGGAAAAGAGGTGAGGGGTGGGAGAAATGCGTGAGGGCATGAGAAAGCTGTCATCGCCAACCAAATGGACCATCCTAGGGTGGGAACAGGGCAGAGACAGCCATCACAGAGGACACAGAAGGAAGGGGTGTGACCACTGAGGACACTGGTGAGGACGTCCGGGTGGAGGTGGAAGGAAATGGTGGCGGGGAGGGAGGAAGGAAGGACACGTGTGTGGAGAGCAGCACAGGCTGGAGAGAAGTGGCTCCGTGGGAGCTGGGCAGACTGGAACCTCAAGGGGACAATGTTGACCAGCCCTCAAGGGTTGAGTCCCTGTGATGCTGACTGTCCCCAGGGTCCTAAGGACGTCCAGGAAGGCTCAGAACAAAAAGGCTTCCTTCTGGAGCCCCAGGACGGCTTCTGGCATACCTGTTCTGAGAGGGAGAACTGGAGGAAAAAGGGGGCAGTAAGCTATTTTTGGTTCTCTCCACTTCCTGGCTGCAGGGGACAGAGCCATTTCTTGTGGCTAAGATGACAAGAACAGAGCAGGACCCTCAGGTGGGAAGAAATCGTAGGGGCAGGGGTGGGGCAGGCCGAGGGCAGCAGGTGCACCAGCTGCCACAGCACACTTGCCTGGGCCGCGGCACCTCACAGTTACTGTCCGTGGGGGGCAGCCCAGTGGCCTTGTTGGGGTGCACGGAGGCCGACATGGATTTCTGGTGCTGGCGGGGCCGGGCCGCAGAGACTGCGGCGGAAGCAGAAGCCGTGGAGGCCCGGGACCCTGGCATGGTTAGGCTAGGAGACAAAAGCAGCGGAGAGGCCTGGGTTAGGGGCAGGTGGGGGCAGGGAGGTTCGGGTTAGGAAGCAAGGGCAGGGCAGGAAGGCCAGAGCTAGGAGCCTCGGCAGGATGCAGAGCAGGCCCCAGAGCAGCAATGGGATGCAAGTCAGAGCTGAGAAGCAGGGCTGGGAGGCGGAGGGCAGGGTGAGGAAGGCGAGGCAGGCCCGAGCCTGGGAGAGGAAACCAAAAGTGCAGGGAAGCCGACAGGAGGCAACTGCCTCCAGCTGCACTGGTCTCCTAGGAATTCTAAGAACAAGGATGCTTCGTTGACAGAAAGAGCAGGGTGTTGCTAAGGGGAATTTTCATTAAGCTCAGAAGAGGCGGAGCCAGGAATGCAACACACGGGGAGATGCTGACGGCCAAGGCTGGGGGAGCGCTGCTCTCACGGGCACAGCTGGAGTCACCCACAATGTGTATGCCCCTCAGGTGGGCATCTCAGTTCTGCCCTGAGCTGGGGCCCCCAAAACAAAGCCTCAGGCAGTGATGCCTCGAGGAGCGCAGCTGCCATGCCCGGCTGCAGTCAGGAAGTGAGAAGGCAGCTGAGATGATCATGGAGTCACACTTGGGGCACTGCAGGGGCGGCCACAGGAGCACAGGGAAGAGGAGACGGGTGGGGGGAGTGGAGAGCAGGGAGGAGGCGCTGGTGTGTGGGAGGCTGGACTGGACAGAGCCGGGACGGAATTCCAGGGAGCAGGGAGGGAGGCGGTGCTGCTGACGGACGTCACCACCGCAAGAAGAGGTTCCAGGGAGCGGGGCAGGCAAGGCCAGGCCTGCTTACCTGTCTTTGCCATTCTGGATGGAGGCCTGGCCAAGGCTGGCCCTCTCCAAAAGTGGGGAATTCCTGCTTCGATTTGTGCTGGTGGAGAGGACACTGTTCTGTGGGGAATAAAAGACAGAGTTGTACTCAGAAAATCAGTGTTCTACTGGCAGGTTTGTAGGACCTGCTTCCCCTCCCCCTTTCACCGGGGGCAGATGGGGTAGGGAAAAGAAAGGATTTTGCTTTTACTCTTGAGGGCAAGGCTGTCCACAGTAAGCAGACGTGGCCCCGGAGGGAAGTCAGGGAGGCAGCAAAAGGGAGCTGGGTCTGGATTAAGAGCTGCCTGGAGAGGGCAGGCCCCACTGCAGGAGGGGAGAGAATGGGAGGGAGAGAGTGGGGCTGGCCAGGAGCAGGGAAGGGATGGCATGGCTCACCGTGGAGGGGGTGGGGGTGGTCTTCTTCCTCTCCAGGCCGGGCAGGGGGCTGGCAGGCACTTTGGCTGTGCTGCTGGCCTTCCGCCCTGACTCCCGGTCCTCCTCCGGCCGCTTATTTTCTGCGTTGTTACTCTGAGTCTTCTTAGAGTAGGAATTCGAGGTGGGAATGGCAGGACCAGCTGTTGGGCCAGAGGGACGGTGGGAATGGGTGAGGGCCGGGGGCCCGCTGAGTGCCCGCCACATACACGGTGCTTTCCTATAGTCTTGCAGCAGCCCAGCAAACCCCACCTCACCGGGGCCAAGAGAAGTTCTGTGACTTGCCCAAGGCCATGCTACTAGCAAGCGGCTGAATGGGGACTGAATCTCTGCGGTGTCACCTGAAGCCCCCAGGACCTGTGACCTCTCAGGAGAGGGGTGAGCCCCCAGCTGCAACTCCTGCTGCACTTACCCTGGTCACTGAAGCGCCGCTGCTTGGGGTTGGCTGAGACGCTGCGCTGTACCTTGTGGGAGGGGGAAGGGGCGCTGCTATTGGTCAGATCAGCTGGAGGCCGGGGCTTCAAGGTGATGGTGTCGCCCTCCAGCTGTAAGAACAGAAGAGGGAGGGCTGATCCTCCAGCGGTGCCTACAGAGGGACTCGCTCATACCTGTCACTCTGCCTCCCCCGAACCCGCCCCGGGCTCACAGGAGACAGAGCCCTGCAAGGCCAATGTGCATCAAAACACGTCCCGACACAGATACTGACAGGCACAGCCAAAGACACCCCCTCAAGACCCCCACCCTGAGAGAGGGATGTCCATGTCCACGAGAACATACTCAGAGACCCTCCGCCCCAGATAACGCCTGAGCCCGCAAAGGTGAGAACCCAGAGAAGGAGCCCAACACTACCAGGGGCCAGCAGGGTGGGGAGGCCGTGGCACATGTGGGGACACACAGATGATGAGCAAGACTCCACTCCCACAGAAACCCACGGACTCAGACACAAACATGATCACCCAGACGGGCAGAAGGACAATCACGAAGCCTCCAGATGCACAGACTCCCGTGGACACACGTGCACACAGATGCACATACCCAGACGCCAGCACCAGGCAGAAGCAACACACAGACTCAAGACCCCATAAGAAAGACACACAGGCCCACAGACCCACAAACCGAGATGTGCACTTCCAGAAACAGAGAGACACCAACACATGGAACGGACACAAAGATTTCTAGATCAACACAAAACTAATCCAGTCAGACTGACCCAGACCCAGTCTAGCCAACAGAGAGCGAGCCACATCTGGCTTGCCCACGTGAAAACCCAGCCCCAGGCCCCGGCCCCAGAGGCTTCCCTACTCCTTCCCTCCTGCAGACACGTGAAAGCAAAGGCCGGAGGCCCTCGGCCACCAGAGCAGAGCTTAAAATTTGTCAGCAGAGAGCACACCTATTCAGAGACAAGCGTCTGCCCTCCACGGCTGCCAGAAGCATGGGGGAGCTACTGACGGGGAAGGTGGCCGGTCAGGGAGGGGAGCAGGGGGCACACACCTCGGAGCTCTTGTAGCCCAGGAGCAGATAGGTGGCCATCACCTCGTTGTACCTCTGGCCCACCAGCGAGTCCTGGATCTCTTCCCGTGTGTAACCCATGGACACCATCAACTCTGCAAGGGGGGACACACAGTTAAGGCTGGTCCTGAGTCCTGGCAGGCTCAGCTTCCTGGCCCAGCACAGCCTCACCTGTCCGCCGGGGGTCCTTGTAGTCAGGGAGTGGCTCCACATAAGGCTTTAATTCATCATCTTCGTGACCCACGTTCATCCATCGATCTTTCATGATTTGCTGGGGAACAAAGGGAAAGGGAAGGAGACTCAGCTTGGAGGCTTCCTCGGGAACCCAGGGCCTCCCAGCCAGCTGGGCTCAGGCTGCTCACCTCTAAAGTGCCTCTCTTGCTGGGATTGAGAATGAGAAATTTCTTAAGCAGGTTTTCACAGTCCGTGGACATGTAGAACGGAATACGGTATTTTCCCCTCAGTACCCGCTCCCGCAGCTCCTGTAGGAGGGAAATTTACATCACCCCACGGCCCAGGGAAGAAACCTAATATTCAGGCTCTTGAGAGCTTAAGACAGGCCAGGCAGGTATACATGAAATACAGCAGGAGGCAGAGAGCCCAGGACAAGGCACCTCGCCCGAGAAGCGGTCAAGTACCCTGTGCCCTGTGGCTTGCCCGAGGCCAGAAGTCCTGAGTGCCTTGGAGGGTGAAGGGACACGTGATCTATCCCATCCCTCGAGGAAACAACTGCGATTATGACACCGGGCGCAGAAGACCTTTCAACTGCTGCTACCTTTTGCAAGCCCTTCTCTGAAGCCCTGGCTGGGTAAGAACGTAGAGAGGTGGCGAAGGGGAGACCAGGGACAAGGCGAGAGGCCGAGAGAGGAAACGAGAAGTAACACAAGCGGCCTGAGTCTGCGCTGCACTCCACCTTGAGGTTCTGTCCGTCAAAAGGCAGGGATCCGCTGACCAGTGTATACAGGATAACACCCAGGCTCCACACGTCCACCTCGGGGCCATCGTACTTTTTGCCCTGGAAGAGCTCCGGGGCGGCATAAGGAGGGCTGCCACAGAAGGTGTCCAGCTTGTTCCCAAAGGTGAACTCGTTGCTGAAGCCAAAGTCTGCAATCTTGATGTTCATATCAGCATCCAAAAGCAGGTTTTCTGCCTGGAAGGTAAGGTGGAACATGTCAGGGAACCAAGTGGACTCCACTAAGGCCCGGGGCAGGAGGGAGCTGAGGGGAACGGGAGAACAAACAGGAAGTCATCTCCAGTCTTAGAACTTTCTCCACCAACTCCAGGGCAGCTCTTCAATCGCTGTGAGGAGGCTGGGCTGAGGAGGGCAGTGCAGGCCACTCCTCACACAGGCAGCCCTGAGAGAGCTGGGATGCGAAGGCTCAGAGAGGCTGCGAGCTGTGCAAAGCGTCTGCGTCAGGCCCAAGGTTAATCATGGTCACAGCTCTGAGGATGCAGGGGCCAGGAGACTCATAGGCAGCCTCACGCCCTAACATCTCAGTGAAAGAGGTGAGTGAGCGTGTACGCCGGCACAGCAGCTGTGACACAGCTGTGGGAACAGCCAACGTTCTTTCCTCGCTCAGCCGCCAGGCTGCCTGAAGGACCAGCAAAGCCTGGAGCGCTCCTGCCAGGCCTGGCTGCCTGGAAGGTGAAATGGCAGAGACCCGCTGCCGGCCAGCTGGAGTGGGATCCTAAGTCCAGTCGTAAGGCCTCTATCAAAAGCAGCCCTAGAGGCTTCCTCACCATCTCCAAAGAAATTAAAGGCTGGGGTTTCCTCGAACACCTGGGGCCTGATGGTTCTGTACGTCATGGTGAATGGAAGGCCAAGAACCCAGCCCAGACTGAGACGCGGGGGTAAGGGCACACCTTACCTTTAGGTCTCTATGAACAATAAACTTCTGGTGACAGTACTGCACAGCAGACACTATCTGAAAGGAAGGAAGAAGGGTCAGTCCAGTGGCACCTGAGGGTAGGCCACAGGGGCTGGCAGAACTGTGACCCCGTGACCTAGTTCTCAGCTGCCACATAGATAAGCAAAGCCCAGAGGACCCTCCAAAGGCCACTTACAGACAGGCAGCTCCTCCATGTATGCCAAACCCCAGAAGGCAGAGGTTGGGCCCATACTCCATGGAGGGACTCGCACCCACCTGGCGGAATTTGGCTCGAGCCTCTTTTTCTTTCATCCTGCCATGAGCCACTAGGTAGTCAAACACCTCTCCTGCAAGAGACGGGGCAGAGTCTAGGTCAGAGCTTGTGGGGTCTGGGGGGCATGGGGACACGGCAGGAAGAGGCAGTTCCACACCTACCTCCACTGGCGTACTCCATGACAAGGTAGAGAGTTTTTTCAGTTTCGATCACTTCAAATAATTTAACTACAAGAGAAAAGGCCAAGCCATGAGTCAGAGAAGCGGGAGGGACAACACATCGAGCCCCAACACGTACAGGGGCATCCCAAGGATGAACGCTCCCCCCTCACACGCCCAGCCTCCCAAGGACAAGCTCCTCTCAGAGCAGCCACATTCCTAAGGACAGCCCAGTGGGCCGGAGGCAGAGCTGGCCGTTGAGCTGGGCTTCCCCAGAGGCGGCCTTGAAGACTCCAGAAGGCCACATGCCTGGGGGGTGGGGGGAGGATGACACGCTGGGAAGTGGAGCCCTGAGGTGGGGGAAGAATGGAATGATGACTGGTTCTCACCTATGTTGGGGTGATTCAAAACCTTCATTATTCTTACTTCCCGGAAGAGCTGGAAAATAAAACACCAGGGGTCATGCCTGCCCAGGCTGCTCCCCAAACAGAGCCACTGCCAGCATTCTTTTTCCAAAGAGAAAACAGGCAAGGAAAGGAAACAGGACAGTTGTCCAGGTCATCCCTGCCCGTCCCGGGTGGCTGGGAAGCAGGGGGGAGGGGAGGAGAACAAGGAGGGCCGGGGAGGGGGAGAGCTGGGCTCTCACACCTTGCAGCCTCAGGTTCAGCACCTGCGCGTCTCCCCGAATCCAGCCCCCAACAGCACACGGGTTTGGGGTACGTCAGAAGGCAGGAGTGTGAGTCCATGTATATGAATATTCAGAAGCTGAGCTGCTTCTAAAGTTCAGTGCCAAGACAGACTCCAGCCTGGTCTGCATGAAGGGGTGGGGCGTTCTAAGGGGGACCCCATCATCTCCTGATTTGCAGAAGTCACAGGGCTCTGCACTGGGGGTAGGCCTTTCTCTCCTGGGCCTCTGGGGTGGTGACAGAAGAAGCCACTCCTATATATAGCTGATGCCAATTTTAATCAAATCCACCTCCACACACTCACGCTCTCTTTGAGAAACAAAATCAGGGACTCCAAACCATACATTTCCATAAAGAAAGATGACAGAAATGAACTCCATCCCCTCGGCGGGGGCCAGAGCACTAGAGGTGGGGTTTTTCGTAACGTCCAGGCCTCACAACTTGCACAAAGAGCAGAACTAGTTTTTTGTTTGTTTGTTTTGGTTTGGTTTTTGCGGGGAGAGGAGGTTTGGAGTATAGTTTATGGCATAAAGTGAACACTGTTTTTTCCTTTAACGAGGTCCCAGAGCTTTCGTGAGCTGGAAAGAAGAAGAGACAGGCTTTCCAAAATCTTCAGGAACCTGATTCTGACCTTGGCCCCCTTTTCTTGTCAGAGCCCAGGTTTCTCTTGCTTTCTTCCCTGGCCCAGCAGTTGTCTTGGATGAACAGGCAAAAAATCCTGGACACCGCCTCGGGGCGGTGAAGGGGGGCAGCACTGAAATGGGGTCCGGAGGCAGCTGCCAGCGTTCTGCTGCTGAGGGCAGCCACTTGGCCTGGAAAGGGCACTCTCCTGGGACAGTGTGGAGCTTCCTGGGCTCGACCAGAGCCCTGAGGGGGCTAGCTTCCTCACTGCTAGTCCTTTAGGGATCATTCTGGGATTAAATTTAAACAGAGTGATGCGGCCAGAATCAGATTGGCCTGGTAACAGAGTGTGTTAAAAGGCTTTTAAAATGGCTGCATTTGTCTGGTACTGGTGCCTTCCAGCCAGTCGGGAAGAGGCAGGGAGCAAAAAAGAGGTGTGGAATAAGATGGCCTGGTCGACTCTGGCAATGATGATGGCAGGCTGGACGGTTCCAAAGACCAAATGGCCCATGCCAGACTGGCATCTCCTCTGTGGGGTCTGAGCCAATAGTAGCCCTCTTTCTCCTCTTTCTGGAAAGCTCCAAACAGGGAAGCCCCAGTGATGACAGCAATGTTTCCTTTGAATCAAAGAGCCTTGAAAGGAGCTCAGGGGTAACAAAAAACAAACACCTTGGATTTGGGTGTAAGCGTGTCAGGGCGCCTCAACCCACACGCTCTGAATCGGAGAGCATCTCTCTCGGTAACAGCCCCCAGGCCCTGTCCCAAGCTTCCCCATCTCACTGTAGCTGACTCTGTTAGCACGAGGTGTGCCCTCTCCTAACTCAAATGACACAATGTGCTCATGAAAAGAAAACTTCAATCTGCCATGAGATGAGAAGAACCAGGTTAATCAAGGTGAGAAATCTGAGCCAGGGTCAGCTGGAGCGGGAGGGCACAAAGGAAATGTGACTGACCTTAACGGGGGCAGCTTTCGGGAGCCAGACGGGAGATTCCCTCCTTCCCCTGACTGCCGGAGCGCAGCACGGGGGGAAAGCGCAGAGAGCTTCCAGGTCTACAACCCCCAGGCGCTGGCACGCTGCCCCCTTCTGCAAATCAAAGTCTCCTTTTCTCACTCCTACCAGCTTTCATAGTTTCTTGAGTTGGGAGAGGGGGGAGGTATGTATTCCTACTTGGAACGTTCTCCCAACCTGCCAAGTAAGACCTCAGTTTCCCTCCACAAGTCAAAGAGGGAAGGAGAAGTTCAACCTCAACCAGCGAAGACTGTGTGCAAACGACGTTGCGACTTCTGGTCAAGAAGAGCCTGGAAGTGAGAAGGGAGACTGGGAGAACCTGTCTTCATGTGCACACTGCCAGAGGCCCGGGCTGGAGCTCACCCTCCAGAAACCCCAGTCTGCCGCACTCAATCTCCAAAACGTAGCTGGCACAGAATCCAGGGGCAGGCTCCCTGCCTCGTCTTATCCCTGTACTCCTATAGCCACTCCCCTGGATTATTCCAGATCTGGGAGTAACTGCATGTGTTTCTAGTAATGGCTACAAACATGTGTTTTTGCATAGGGCTGGCCACAGGCCAGAAGATAACAAGATGCAGGAAGTAGGTCAGACAGGTAGGCCAAGTGGCTGGGAAGGGGCAGAAAGACTTCTAAAGAGCCAGTGCCTGTGGCCAGGAAGTCCAATTGGAAGGAGTCAACACAGGAGATCCAATCAAGGCCATAAAGGTAGCAGAGCCACGGAGATGGGTGGTGCGACAGTGAAGTGCCCAGAGATTTTCAACTAGGGATTCAAGAGGAGGTCCAAACGGGGTTAGGAGATCACTGACCCCTGGAGAGAGCTTTAGAAAGGGAGAGGAGGTGCGGTGTGCTTACTTTCTGGAGGCTGGAGGAGTTCAACTGAGTCTTGTCAATGATCTTCACAGCTACCTGAAGATGAGACAAAAAGCCCAAGGTTACCTCTCTGCCCAAGCTAACCCAGGACGCAAATCTCCTTCCTCCTTTACATTTCTGCCTCCTTTCTGCCCTGCCCTCTTAGCACCCCTACTTGTTCAGATCTCACTTCTGCCTGATAAACAAGAAGTTGGCTGTGGTGGAGGCCCCACTACTACCTGCTGGAGCGTTAACAGTCGGGAGACACTGCCACGTCCCAACCCCAGTGCTCACCTCTTTCCCAGTTAGGATGTGCCGAGCCAGCTTCACCTTAGCGAAGTTACCCTTGCCAATGGTCTTGAGGAGTCGATAGTTGCCAATATGGGGCTGCTCGTCAGCAGAGGTGGCTGAGTTGCGGCCCCGCAGCATGTTGGACTTACTGCTGGGCTTGGAGTCAAGATGTCCCAAGGTGGGCTGCAGGGTGGAAACACGCACACCTTTGAGCACACTGGCCTTCCAGCTCCGCACACCCTTCCCTTCAGCCCTCTGCAAAATATCGAAGAGGCTGGGGGTGTAGGGGCAGATTCCAAGGGGCTGGCGGGCATGCAAAGAATCATAAGGCGAGGAGGGAAAGGAAAAAAGAGATGAGAAGTGAGCCAGTCTTCCCCTCAAGAGCACAGCCCAAGGTCCCTTGCCAACATCCTGTGGGTGTTGGAGCTTAGGACCTGAGCTATTCCATCACTGGCTCCACCGCCTGGCAATACATTCCCCCATTAATAACCCAACAGCTCCTCCGCCTCACGTGGGAGAGCGTCTCCTACTGTTCTGCCTGCTGCCTGTTCACACTGTGAGAAGGCTGCATCTCAAAGTCGCAGGTGCAACACGATCAGAACTACTTCAAAGCACTCATCGCCACCCAACGCTTTCATCTACCTCCATTATTTATCATTTTGCATTGATTTGCTGTCTATCCCAATGAGAAAGGAAGCTCATGAAGGCAGGCATATATCATTTATTCATTGATACATCCCAGCACCTAGAGTGGACTATAGTGGATGCCAAGTGAATATGCGTGCAAAGAATGAAGTGAAGGACAGAGTTTGAGCAAGGCAATGTTCTGCCCTACCTAGATACTTGACAGCTCCAACAAGGGTGCGAGGAAGCAGAAATGATGACAGCGGCACTGAGCAGGCATACAGACATAACGCGGGGTGTGGTCCAGACAAAAACATACGTGCATACAAAGACTTGTACATTCCTCAAAGGGCTAAACACACAGTTACCATGTGATCCAGCAATTCCACTCCTAGGTCCACACCCAAGAGAAATGGAAATGGACGTCCACACAAAAACTTGTATCCCAATGTTCACGCATAATATCCCATAGTCACGATAGCCAAAAAGTGGAAACAACACAAATGTCCAACAACTGGTGAATGGGATAAACAAACTGCGGAAGATCCACACAGTGGAATATTCATCAGCTGTGAAAAGAAATGAAGTACTGACACATGCTACAACACAGATGAACCTTGAAAACATTACGCTGAGTGAATGAAACCAGTCACAAAGGAAGACATACTGTATGATTCATTTCCATGAAATGTCCAGAATGGGCAAATCTATAGAGACAGAAAGGAGATTAGTCTAGGGCTGGGAGGGCTGAGGAGAGCGGGGGATTTGGGAGTGACAACTATGGGGTGTGGGGTTTCTTTCTGTGATAAGGAAAATGTTCAGCTCTGTGAATTTCCTAAAAGCCACTGAATTGTAACTTTAGTTATTTGGTTTTTTTTGGTGAGGAAGATTAGCCATAAGCTAACATCCATTGCCAATCTTCCTCTTTTTCCTGAGGAAGAGTGGCCCTAAGCTAACACCCGTGCCCATCTTCCTCTATTTTGTATGTGGGATGCCACCACAGCATGGCTTGATGAGCGGTGTGTAGGTCTGTGCCCCAGATCCAAACCTGTGAACCCTGGGCTGCTGAAGCAGAACATGCAAACTTAATCACTATGCGACCAGACAGGTCCCTAGTTTAAAAAAAAATTTTTCCCCCCGCCCCAAAGCCCCAGTACACGGTTGTATAACCTAGTTATAAGTCCTTCTAGTTCTTCTGTGTGAGTCACTGCCACACTATGGCAACTAACAGACAAGTGGTGTGGTTCTGTGACCAGGAAGCGATCCTAGGTCACCAAAGCAGTGAGAGCACCCACCTTTAACCACTAGGCCATCGGGGCTGGCTCTGAACTGTACACTTCAAATGGGTGAATTGTATGGATACGTGAATTATATCTCAATCAAACTGCTGAGAGTCTGGTCTAACTCTAGTTCTTATTTTCCTCTCAGAGACTATCTGACGCCATTGCTCCAGCAGACTGCACATAGCTGCTGCCAGAGCCTCACCCCAGAATCACTCAGAGCTGCCCTGAAAACTTCACGGGAACGATCTGGAGGGGGGCAGGCTGACCAGAGGAGTGGGCGTCAAAGTTCCTCACAGCCCCTTCTGTCTGTATGTGAAGCCCTCAAAAACCACAGAGGAAAGGAATGACTTGCTGCCACCCAAGGAACTGCCCAGGGTTCCCTGACAAGGAGCTTGCCTTCCCTACCAGAGACTTCAGCAGAAAAACAGTAACACACAGTAAGTGTCCTGCTACCGACTGTCCCCTTCTTCACTGTGTCAATGTCCGGCCTCCCTTTCTCTCCACACTGCAGCAGCCGCCTGGTTTGGGGGCAGCTGATTGACTCAGATCCCAGAAGCTCATGAGGCTGAACCCTTGAGGAGAAAAGACCCCCTCCCCCCGGGTGCGGCAGACGCGGGAGAGGTTCCCGCCATCCCCGTGGCCCTTCAGGGAGTGCTCTTTCTTAAGTCCTCACCAATCCTCAGATCTACCACAAGTGCCCAAAGCCTCTGACGCCTGCCCACTGCCACCCACAAAGCTCTCTGCCCTCTGCTCTCCAGACACCCTGGAGCGCACCTGAGCCTGCCCGGTCCTGACGCGGTACTGCTGGACCAGCTTTTCTCCCTCCAAAAGGAACTCTAGGGTTCACAACGCTTGGAGAGAAGGGCATTTCTGGGTCCTGCTGGTACCTGCATTTGGGTCAGTCTACTGAACGGCACCCTGAACCCCACCCTTCAGGGTCCTGAAGGCCTGGCCTCCTGGCCTACCAGCCGGCCTGAGAAACCATGGACAAAGCTTCCCTCTGCCCCAACTCCCACAGGAGGAAGATGGGTAGAAAAGCTTCCCGGCAACCTCTAATTCACCTCCTGTTTCTTGCCACTCCCCTCTTCTCTGAGGATAGGTGCCAGGGCAGCAGGAGCTTGGCAGTCTCCAGTCCTCAACATGTAGAATAGGGGATTCAGCATCTCCCTGGGGATTTAGGCCCTCTGCCCCTCTGAAGCCAAGGCTGCGAAGCCTACTGCCTATCCTGAGCTCTGCGCTGCCCATCCCTCTCGGGGTTTCTGGCACCAGGGGCTGGTCAGTGTGGCACGGCAGGACAGCACTCCCTGCCAGGCTCAGCTGCACGATGAACTTGAAGGAACATCCACAACCACAAGCGGGGCTCTGCCATCCGGGCGCCTCCTCACCGGGGTAGAGCGGCGTGGTTAAGAGTGTGGATGCCAGAGACAAACTGCCAGGGGTCAAACCCTAAATCTGCCACTTACTCACCACATGCTAACTTTATTATCAACACCATCCTTCAGAAGGAGAAGAGAGTATTACAAAGTGGGAAGGAAACCATCTGAAAGATGACCGGTGTGGGTGACCCCACACATCTGTGGTCTGGTAGATGGTCTAGTGGACGATGAGGAGCTCCGTCGTACAGAACTCGGCTCCCCCACTTACTAGCGATGGTTTCCTTATGTGTAAAGTGGCGATAAAATACTCCTTACTTCACACTAGGTAGGTGAGAGAACACTGTAAAATGTTTTAGCCAACGCTCAATAAAGAGCAACCATTATTGCTATTATTTTTGGTTCCCAAATACTACTGTCTGCAAAGCTAGAAATCTCAACAAGATTTCCGCATCTAAGTCGAGCCCTCGTAAGCCAGCTGCAGCCCAGATGGAGGCCCACGAGAGATGCTATGGGCCGCCCCACGGGAGAGAGGGCCACGCTGAGTGTCAGCCGCCCTCTGCTCCAGCGCTGCTGCCGGCCTTCACAGCAGGGGACGAGACAGGCCAGCTGTGAAGCGCTCGTTCCAAGCCGGGTATCTAGGACTGTAAGAGAGAAGGCTCTGCTTGTCCGGGACCCAGAGAAGCAGAGAGTGCTGGCACATGCTCTTTGATCCCCCGCGCCAGAAGTCACCTACTCCCCTGTCAGGACTGAACCACCCACCTCTCAGGACTCAAAGCGTACAGCCCTTCTCTTACCCGCTCCCCTCTTCTACGTCGTAAGATGTTCCCACAGCAGGGATGTGGGACAGGGCGAGGAGAGCCCGCAGCAGGAAGTAGAGCATGGAGAACGGGAGTAGAGAAAGGAGAAAGGCTCCAACAGAAAACGTTTCTTGGACCGAGACCCCAAGCGAGGCGGCTTCCCCGACGGCTGACGAGGAGGTAAGGGTGTGCGGCCGCTGCTATGGAGAGTCCCTTCCCTGGTTCCGAGAGACCCGTGCAGCCTGGGCCCAGATCTCCCCAGGCCGAGGACTAGCTGCCCCTCTGGGCCAGCTAAACAGGATCTGGCTAAAGCCATGTCTGTCCTCCGTGCTCACAGGAAGATACGGAACACCAGCCGGCCCAGGGCTCTGGCCTACCTCACACCCAGGCAGGTCCCAAAGGTCTGAGGGAGCCTGCTGAAAGCACACGCCACAGCTCTCGGGCGGCCCTCAGAAAGAACAACGGGGTCCCCTGTGAGGACGTATTTGGAACCAAACGGCAGGCCTGATTCAGAAGCAGGGCCTCAACAGCTTCAGGGTCCTCGACCAAAAGGAGGAGAGAACGCAGGACACGGAGGATAAAAGAACAAGAGAGCCTGACATCCGGTGGGCCCTTCCACCTGGGATCTCCGAGCCGGCCGAGGCGCGCTGCCAGGTGCGCCGGAAGCCAGCCTCCACCCCGAGGCCCGGCGCTGACTCAGGGAGCGGGGCGCCTTCCCTGGTGCTGGGGGCTCCTCCAACAGTTCTCCCCCGGAAAGGCTCGCGCTTCGGGGCTCTGCACTCAGGGCTGGCCTCGAGTGTCCTGAGGCTTCCCCAGGGCTGAGAAGGGGCCGAGCTGGGAGGGGTGACAGGCAGGCACTCCCTAGCCACAGGTAGAGTAAGCCCGGGCACTGTGGAGTGGAGGAAGAAAGGCGTCCCTTGGGCACTACCCTTGGGTGACTGCCCAGATCCCAGTCTCCCTCACTCTCACACCAGAGACCCCCCTGGGCCCCTGCCTGTCACCAGCACCCCCTCTCGCTCTGCTTGAGCCCGCTGACTCCACCTAAGGGAGACTCCTCCTGGTATTTGCTCTTCCTTCCGTAGCCAATGCCTGTTCGTCTGGAA